CCCCAAAACCCCAAAACCCCAAAACCCCAAAACCCCGTTTCAACTATAATTCATTGCAATAATAAAATTATTTACAGATGAATGATTTCTGGATTAACTTCAAACGTAAGGTACGCAAAAGCCAAGATCCCTCTAAGAGGTACCACAATTTCGATGCTGTAAGAAAGAGGGTGATAAACACCAAAAAGATCTCCCAGTTTAACAACCATCGGCTCGACTTGAAATAGTACTAAATTCTCATCTTGCTTCAATAGTAAAGTCAATGTGCCTCATAACTGTAAGTATTAAATGCTTCTAGTCTGTCTTTTAATATTGGGCCTTGCCCAACATTAGAACAAGAGGAAGAATCAAGGCTAAATTTTGTATTAGAAACACACAAGTTTCAACACAAACAAGAGCCTAAAGCAGTATGGTAACAGTAGACTCAGGGAAATGCTCCCTGAGTCACTGGATTACCATCGGTTCAAGTTGAAAGAATTCAGCAAAGCTTACAAAATTACAGAGGCTGAGGTATAGCTCTTTCTAACTTTGTAGAAATCCAACTCTCCAAAATTTCTGCATAAATCTCAGAATCATCTAGACGGGATGGCTGAGGCCACTCCGAAGGATTATACCAAGATTGCCAGTCCTTTTCCTTGGATATCAACCAAAGAATTTAGTGTAGTACGTGAGGGTGTTAAAGAGACTTAGCAAGCATAATGAGATTAGATATTGCTTCCCAGAATTTACTCTTCGAGCAACTTTTTCTGTAAAATCCTTGGAAAATTCACTAGAATATGCAAATTTTATTGAAAAGATAAGCTTATTTACAAGTGGACTATTCAAAAATATTCTTTCAAAGCCGAATCGCTCGCTAGAGAAGCCAAATCCATTAGTTCAGGTTGAGTATTTACATTCTCATAGGACAGATTCCATACGAATTCTCAAGAAAGAAACCAGACTAGTAGCAATATGGCTTCTCATAGCATGAGCAAAAGCATGGAGAAGCTGAAATAAGATTTATAAGATCAATAAAATCCGTAAGAATACCAGAGGACATGTCAAGTCTAGGTAACTTCATCTCCACATCGGTCTTCTTAGCTCAAAATTTAGAAGGTACAAGAGCAAGAGAGAGTTAAGCCTTGACTCGCAAGAAGAGAATGACTTAAGAGCACAATTATTTGATTACGCTAATTCTAAGCCAGAGTTACCTTCAATTGAAGCATCAATGGATCTCAGGAAGCTGTCCCATTTTGATCTCAGGACTCCTGCTATTAAGCAGTCTTCCTCCAAGCGGAGCTTTCATAGGTACGCCAATTGCTGTTATACATAGTAAAAGAATCAACTGATCAACAAGAGCGTTCAGTATGAAGACCAAGCAATCGATCAGGAAGCGCTAAGCGCTGGGATCCTGAATGGTTTCAACCATTTTTCATAAGTTTCAACACGTATTCAGAATAGTGGGGTTTTGGGGTTTTGGGGTTTTGGGG